TAACTACTGCTTAGGGTTGCTAGAGAAGCTGGACAGTGGAAAAAACAACCCAACAAAACAAGAGCGGAACATTAAAGAGCACAGAGCTGACAAGACCAGCACGAAGCAGCTGCCCACACGGCGCCGCTTGCACGCAAAGCATGAGGCAGGAAGGGGAAACAAGTGGGGCAGAAAATGCTACTGGAGCTCGTCAAGAGAAACCCGGCTTGCCCCAGAGCCTGCACTGCCCACACCTCACAAGGAGAGTGGCCCAGGCTCTGCCCCTTGTTTGTGGAGAACAAGGTGAGCTGATTCAGCGGGGAGCTGCTCAGGTAGGTGAGGCTGTTCTGGTGCTTTACCCATTCTGCCCAGTCTGTCCACAAGCCACTGAGGGCTGGGCCCTGGCGAGGTACCAAGAGCTTGTCTGATGCCCTGTAAATAACACATGCAAAGTGCTACAGCTTCCCAAACAGGTTTCCCTTGGTCTTGACCAGCTGTGGAGCTGAAAATGACGATCATTTGCCAGTGGAGCTGCACAAGGGAGCCAGTTGCCTCAGGCAGAGCCAAAACCAATACCTTGGAAACCTTTCCCTGTATTTAGGCTTGGCAAAGCAGTTCTGCTTCTTTCAAAGCCTTGGAGCCTGGCAGAATAAGTACAGGATTCCATCCAGGGATGCTGTTGTGATTTGGAGCCTATATATACACGTGAGCCCGGCAGGAAGGGAATATGCAGCTGGCAGAGCCCAGAGGAGGTGGTGGCAGCCAGGAGCCCACTCGTGCTGCCAGCCCCTCGTGCCTGCACAACCCCAAGGAAGAGAGAAACTGCTGGGTCTTTCAGCAAAGGCAGAGGGGAAAGCAGGCACAGTCAACAAAACGACCAGAATAACTTACAGCTTACCCAGCCATGCCAGCAGCAGAGTCAGGCTCAGCAACACCTTCATCTTGCCCTAAAAAGAAGAGCAGAGTTGGCACGTGCATCAGTTTCCCCCGGGTCAGGACGCTGGCAGCTGGCAACTGCACTGAGCCCCAAGGTCAGAAGACTTCCTTCGCTTCTTCGGAGAGGGGCACGATCCTGGCTGCCTGGATGTGCAGCCTCTGCAGTCACCCCTGTCCCAGCTGGGAGCCTGAGACTCAGCAATGTACAGATGTCAGATTTGTGTCTGGTTTGAGACTGCTCGGAGCCCTGGAGAGGAAGAGAAAGTGCAGGGGGGAGGGCTCAGCCCCAAACACCTTAGCATCACCCTTAGTGATCAATCTTTCCATTTCTAGTGGCTGAACTGGGCCATTCATCAATGTTAACTCTGCTCAGGAAGCAATAGGATGGTTTTTTTCTACTACATACCCAGAGAGGTTTGGATACAGGCCCTAGAAACACAGACCCCTTTACTCTAGAAATGACCACTTTGCTCCAGGGTGCTGGACATGGTGAAAACTCCTGCTGGAACCCTTCAGGGTCTGTTCAGACAGTGCCATGGTTGGCAACCGGCTGCACATCCCTCTAGACCAGCTTCAGTAAGGCTGAGAAGAGGAAAAGCTCCCAGAGATTCCTGAGACAGATGAAGGAAACTAACTCCATGAAAGGAGTTGGTGACTCTAAGGAACAGCAGGAGCAGCAGGGGAAAGGCCTCCCTGCCACTGCTCACCCCCTGGGACAGCTTCCATCTCTTTACATGGCCAGACATGCTTGCTAATTCCTTTTTCTTTCCAAATGCACTTTTCTCAGCAAAGGAAGCTCAGGAACACCCTGAGACAGGCTCAGACAGGGACTGCTGGCCCAGAATTAGCTGCTGGGAGCCCCATGGGTCTGTTCTAGGATGAGAAACAGTCACTGCAGCTTTTCACTGGGTGCACGGTGGCCTTGCCTGCAGTCAACGATGCAAAACCACCTCTGCTCTTCATCACCCGCCCCTCTACACAGACAAAATCCTGAAAAGTGGCAGCAAGCCCTCTGCAATTCTCTCCATTCTGCCTTTCAGACAACACGACCCGTTTGGGGGGGAAGGGTTGTGTTTTTTTGGAGGTGGAGGGGAGAGCTGTGTGGTTTGCCTGGGCTGTGACACACTTTGCTGCTCAACCCGCACTCCTGCTCACACGACCTACAAAGGCAGCAAAATTCATGCTCAGCTCCCAGGCTCTCAGCTCTCAGCACACCCCACTGCAGCAGGCCAAAGCACCCTACTTTCCAGCTCTGCTGCTGAAAGCTGCAGAACCCAAGCAGAGCTGCACCCTCCCAGGACCACCTCCAGGCAGGACCCAGAATAGGAGCTGCTGAGAAAGAAGCCAGAACCTTGTGTGTGTGGGGGTATCTACACCCAGAAGGTCAGCAGCTCTCTGTAGCTGAGCTACTCAGGCTCTGGCCCCTATTTGCCATCCAATCCTTCCTGAATGTACCACCCTATTTCTCAGAATAAATTCTGGCCCTGTCTGGGAACACGTTTTTTGCAGGGTCTCCCACTGCAACATGCACCAGCAAGTGGGTGCTGTGCCTGCAGCAGGGAAGGCAGCGCCCACTCACCCGGGCTGTTCTCTGCATTACAGGGCTGACACATCCAAATCCTTCTGCAGGATAATTGCCTTCACTGAACAGATTGGGGAAAAAAAAATAAAAATACATTGATGCCACCCTGCCTTCACATTTCCCTGCTCTTGCAGGATGGCAGCTGAGTCCTCAGCAGTTCTATGTTTCCCTGGTTTGCTTTTCAGGGAAAAAAAAACAACAACAAACAAATCCAAAAGAATATTAATAAATAAATATTAAAGCAAAAAGCACTCACCTGGTGTGGCCTGAAGCAGTTGGCTTGTCTCTCAGAGGATTCAGTGGCCAATCCAGGATACCTGAAAGAATCAGTTGCTACATCATCTGGAGGCTGTACGTGCCAGGCACTTGCCTCTCTTACCACGCTTTGGTTTCGTGTCTCTGCCTCTGGGCTCAGCCGGGCTGGTGGTCGCTTGCAACTTGCAAGAGGAAGTGAAGAGCTACGGGGAGTTTGTGATGAGGCAGAGGGAGAGTTATGGAGGGGTGAGCTGCAGATGTGTGTGCCCAAGCAGCTTCAGGAGAAGACACTTCACAGGTACAAGATGTGGCTCAGCCCTTCCATCGCTGCAGGCTGAGCTGAGAACAGGTCAGGAGCACCGAGGTTTTTGCAGCCTGTGCTCACTCCTGGTTTGTTTCTGGTCAAAGAGCCCCCATTCCTTCTGACTGGATCTCATCCCAGTGAGGCATCAGCAGCTTCCCTGAGCGTTACCCTGGTGCTCTCAGGGCCCACAGGCCAGCAGGCACCTTATTTTCCACAGCACAATCAGCTGCTCCCTCTTGAAACACACACACAACACACAGCACGGGCTGCTCCAGCTGGCACACACCTCCAGCCACTGTGAAAGGGTATTTTCAGCCTTCCTCTGAAATACCACAGCAATCCCCGTTCCCTACCCCAGTATCAGTGGTTTTACTGGTTCACAGAGCAACTTCCATACAGCTGGGGAAAGCTGGGTCTCGTTCAGGAGCAGTGATGCATTACTGCAGAAAGTGGAAGAACAAAGCCACTTCCTCTAGGCTACCATCCCACCAACATCCTTTCTCAGGGAAGTTTTGGTGGAGAGAAAGACACTGTGTCATCAGGAAGCACCAGCTTCTGTAAATATTACTTTATAGTAGACACGAGAAAAGTCTATTTCTTTACCTGAAGACACAGACCTACAGCTGAGCTGCTCTGCAGGCAGGAGCTTCAACATGCCTGGAACTGGCAGCCACCACAGAGCCTCAGTTCCCTTTGGAGATAAATCTGTTCCTTAAACACCTTTACCATCATCATATGACAATTTCTACAGCTCAACAACAACTCAGGATGGCAGTTTTAGGGGCTCAGTCATATTTAGCCAAACAAAGAAATCCACAGCCCAGAATGACACAAAGCAATTTATTGGTAATGGCACAAAGTCAACAGTAAACTTACAACAAATATGTAAAAGGAGACTATTTGACCAATGCTGCACACAAAAAGTAAGTGGAAACAGCAGCTGTTTAGGTATTGAGCAGAGAGGAATTCTACTGCTCTCTGCCATCCATGTTGAACAAGGCTGGTGAAAGGGAAAGTTCTTACCAGGCATAAATGATGCATGATTGGCTGGTTCCCTACAACAGTACCTAGAAGAAGTGAGGAGGAACATGACTGTTCTTCTGAACACGGGACATTCCTTTGGACATGGCTTGAGTCAATGGTTGAGGTAGATGGGGTTATGTTTCCCCAGACACAGAGTCCCCATTAGCATTTCTGATTTTAAAAAAATAGTATTATATGAATTGTGCTTCACTTCTGCAAGTAAAAGATGTACCCTGGGAATGCAGCTCTTGGACAAATAATTAAAAAGAGATAAAGCTCAGCAATGTAAGGTAACACTACTGTGTAGTTGGTCCTTAAAAATACAGTCAGAAAACAGCAGGAACAAAAAGGTGATCCCGTCATCAAGTGGCAGATTAAACCAAGAAACAGTTACAAATCAGTATGTTCTCTTTGTTCCCAGACAAAAGGTGCCGATAACAACGTGATCAAACTGTTGAAGCAAATACATTCCAAAAGAACTGGGAAGACCACGTTGTCTGTGGCCAGAGGATCACCTTGGAGAGCTGAGGTCACTCTGGAGCAGCCTGTGCTTCAGGGAATCTAAATTCAAGGCCACAGGAAAGGAGGGATGTCACCAGTAATCAAGGAAACAAATTTGCAAGTAAACTAAGACACATGTGCTGTCAGACTGCTGGCAGGACACCCGTGGGCACTGAGGTTTCTGTAGGCACCCAGAAAGTGAGGTTAAAGAGAGATTTTCCCAATAAATTAGGAAGATTTCAGAGATCATTGTTGTGTGCTTAAATAAAAGTGATTTTATCCCACTGGATGATTCTTCCAAGCTGCCAAGATCAGAGCAGGTCCTTCAATCTGCACTGGTTTCCCAGCAGCCTTCATCCCTATCTAGCCATGATTGTCAGTGCTGTCATTTTGTTCTTCATCCAGAGCTCTGCTCTGCCATCAGTATGGGTCTTCCTCATCCGAGTCCTAAACAAGGAGCATGGGAAGAGAAATTGAGACTATGAATGAAGACACACACTGTGTTATGTGGTCAACAAAATGCTGAGTCTGCTCTCCAGGAGCTGCTGTGTTTGAGCCACGGGACACAACTTACCACGGGTACACAAACTGCCACTGTACGTCCAACAGTGACGTGGGAAATAGCAACTAAAACCCAAGCAAAAGACAAACCACGAAGCGCAGGCTTCTTAAACAGCACCCCCAGTCCTCACAGAGAAGGCTCAGAGCAGCACAAGGTGGTGTTTGCCAGCTCTGATCAACCCCACACTTTCAGATCCCTGTTTTAACCCCAGCAACCATCACCTGATGGTGGCCCAGCAGCCCAGCTCTGCAGCTCAAACATAACAGCTCTCTAAGAGAAATCTCACTAACTTTCCAGCCCAAGCAGATTTTCACCGGGTTTGCAATTGTAACTGTTTGGTAACATGTTAAGCATTTAAAAAGTACATTGCACACACCTCATTCAAGTGAGACAAAACACTCAGAGACCCAGAAAGCTAAATATTTTTGCTATCAGAAAGCAAAGCATGAACAGCTGACAAAACACTCAATGTGAAAGCAGCAGGATCACAGCATTCAAATTTCCCTTCTCTCAAGAGATAAGTTATTTTTAAATTCTTTAAATTTCCAACTGTCTCGCAGCATTTTTCTCACCCAGTTTGGGTCCCTGTCCTGTCCCCCCCCTGCACCTGCAGTGCAGCTCCCTGTCCCCAGCTTGTCACTTGGAACAGCCTTTCCACCTCCCATGGCAACTTTCCCTTCTGTATAAACCATCTGCTGCTTTTTGCCCCTCTCTCAACTCTTCCCCCCCCATCCTGCTGCATATCATGTAGAATTGTCAATATTTCACGTGTAACTTGTGTAACTGCTCATTTTCTGCATCTAATACAGCACGAAACCATCAGCACACACCTGTCCAAAGGTGGCATTTAGTGCATTTAAATCACTGGCATTAGAGTAGTGAATCAAACAGAACATTAAATCCTCCTTCACATACTTCCTGACGGTGTATAAAAGATGGAGAGGTGTGTCTGAGGTCAGCTTGCTCGTGGGACATCAGGAAAAAAAGGAAGCACTCTCAAATTAGGCACATTAGTGACCTCCCTCTGGAATGTGCCACGTTCCTGGCTGGGGCTGCTAATGCCAGCACAGAACCCAGAGCCACAATTTACAACACAAGAGCAGCAGGTGGCAAAAACATTCCCTTAGTTCCAGCACAACCCAACTGATTAACAGCACTTGCTGACAGCAAGAGAGCAAGCAGAACTAGGAAACAACAACCACTTCAGAAGACAACACAAACAAAAAAGCCAGAAAACAACAAACAAACCACAAGAGTTTACAGGATTATGCTGCTACAAAATCATCTGTGTAAGTAGGAAGATCTCCAGCTGAGAGGCAAGGCTGCAAGCTGGGCAAGAAACATACTGGATGGAGGTGCCACTGCCTCCCTTCCCCACTGGCAAACCCCAAACTGGTTTGGAAACTGCAAAGCACAGTAGGTAGCACTTCACATCCTGAATTTTCACCTGAAAAAGTCAGCTTTGATTTCAATACAGCCACATCAAAAACCAGTTTGCTGGATCTCCAGACAACTTCTCCCCCCCAGCAGTGAGGTGTGACCAGCAGCACCAGCCAAGCCATGAGCCTTCTCTGCCATCCAGAGGTTTTATGACACCTGCTGCTCTTAGCACCTCCTCTGAGAGCTAAAGGTAACAAGACCAGTTATGAAAACAGCAGCTTTCACTTACCACACAGTTCAGGCACCAGTCCCTGAGCTTCCCCAGCCACCTGCTTGTCTCTGGATCTTCAGGCCTGCAGAGAAAGCACAGGATTAGGCTGGACTTCTCCCCCTGCACACATACTAATATCTCCTATGGGCTGTGAATTCTGGGTCTCCCACACTGAACTGAAGGCTTTTCAACACGAGGAAAAGCCTTTGACTCTGCACAGCAACACCACAAAGAATCACATCAGGTCCCTTGTTTTGAAGGCAGGTATTGCACTTCAGTGCCAGGAAGAAGCACAACAAGAGCTGCTATTTGGCACTAATCAAAACACTGCATTAAAAAAACATTCTGCAAGAAACTGTAGCACTGAAATAGTTCCAAACCCAGGTGCAGCTCCAGCATTGTCACCTTCTTGTTCTCACTACTGAGCTTTTGCAGAACAGAATCCTCTCCAGTCCAGAAGGGAATTCAGTCTCCCAGTCTCACTCAGTACCTGGTACCTCTGCCCAGGCCACCACAGGGGAACCAGTCACCAATATTGTTTGTTTTGTTGTTATGGATACCTCCCACCAAAAATGCAACACACAAAGCCCACAAGAGCAAAATATCTTGCTGATTTAGGCTGAAATAAATGCAATTACAGAAGTGAAAGACTTTCTAACCCTAAACTGCTTCAGTTCCATGGCCACCCACAAATGACAGGAAAAAAAGAGGATGTGCAGCATGTAGCTTATGCTGCAACACAGGGATTTTGCCCAACCTTTCTGACTTGCTAAGGGATGCTCATGGAGAATTAGATTTCAGTGGCTGAACTGCAGGTGGTGAGAGCTAAACAAGGAAGGACAGGGGAGGAACTGTCCTCTGGCCTGTACCAACAGGCTGAAGTAGAAATACCAGCTCTAGGATGCAGACAGAACTTACTCATCAGACACTTCGATGGAGGATTTCTTATAGCCAGTTTTTTTCTTCTCCTTCAGCACTGCAAATTTCCTCCCCATCCTCACCAGCAGCAGCACAGCCACGATGATGGAAGGGATGAACACTGAAAGGGCCAGCAGCGTGGTGGAGGTGAGCTGGAAGGAAAAGCCTGCAGGGAGGACAAAGAGCAGCCCAGCTGTACCAGTGATAAACTTTCCCAAGCCTCTGTGACCAATGTTCACCCAGGACATAGATTGCCAGGCTTTTCTTATGAAGCACAGAGCTGGCAGGTTTGAAACAGCTTGTCACTGGGTCTGCAGGATTCCTAACCTCTCTCCAGCACAGTGAGGTGCTTTATATGCAAAAACCCACAAGGAAAGGTGGGTCACCACACGGTTCTATCAGCCTGTCTAAGCTGCAGATTTGGGGCAGGCTTGCACACAGGGCACTTGAGGAAATGAAGTATTGCTGAGAGTTGGTGTTTGTGATGTGACAGGTATTTTTAGGCCAGTGTATCCTACACATTGAACTTGTTCTAGTGCTCCAATATGTGGAGACTGGAACTCCTGAACAAATGCACTTCTCTGGTTTCTGCTGTCACCACAGCTTCATTGTCCCTTCCTGCCCCAGGTGAGTTCAACAGTTCCCAGCACATCTAGCTCAGGAAGGAGGGCTGAGGTAACTCTCACTGGAATCCTGACATGGAACCCCAGGGAACCCATTTCCCAAGGGATTCTCAGGCTTCCAAGGTCCAAGGCAGCTGTAGCACGAGGATGAGGACATGGCACTGAGGCTTACCCCTCTCCATGACTGTCAGGGTTGTCTGGGGAATGTTATGGTAAACATCTGGGGGGTTCTTCACACTGCAGATGAATGTCCCATTGTCACTCATCACTGGGCTCTGCAGAGCAATGGAAGCATCACCCTGGGCAACATTTCCAATCCAGGATATCCTGTCTTTGAATTTTCCCACTGCTGTTGAGTATGGAACTGACTGATAATGAAAAATCTGGAAGGAGACAAAGGCAATAATCAGACCAATGAACACTTCTCTAAGAAAGCAAACTGTTTTGTAGACTGTCAACATGAAGGAAAACACATTAAGAAGACAAAATTAATATTTCTTATGCAGGAGACCTGTTCCAGTTCCTATTGGGCAGTTCCATTTCATGACATCTCCAGTGTTTTTGTCTACCAGCCTCAGCTGCAGGTGTCCCCATCACCACTGACCAACTTGTTCCCTTCTGCAGATCTTCAGCTGAGCAGCAGAGCAGGCTTCTTGTCTCATGTGAGAGAAAACATCACAGTTCTTCAGGTTTTGCTTCTGGCACTTTTGCCCTCTCTGTCCTGTGAGGAGAGGCTCAGCAGACCTCACTTCATCTGAGCAGCCCTTTTTGTTCCAGGTACAAGGACACTCCTGAGAGCTGAGGCTCTTCAGGCAGAAGTCACTGCACTGTCTGTTTCCACCTTGAATGGCACATTTTCAGTAGGCTTTCAGGCTTAGGTATTTATGGTTATATTTCAAAATGCTGCCAACAAACCAGCAAGCAGGAGCCCATAAACCTGAGGGGCTGTCACCATCACTGCCTTCAGGCTGTCACTCTTGCCACTCCAAGATAAATCAGCAATAAACTGCACGACAGAACTACAAGGGTCCAGCTGCCTTCAGGAAAGCTACCAACCCTACCAACCAACCACTGTTCAGTCCTTCCATACAGAAATACTTGTGTCAAACACCCCAAAGTTTTCTACTTCACAATCACTATGTTATGATGTATTTCCACAGCATTTTTTGCCCAGCACTAAAGCAGTTCCCCATTGGAAAGATGGCAACAACGAGAGCCCCAAAGCCCAAGGTGAAGCAGCACAGCAAGGCAGGCAGGGAACATCCCATCAGGTTTTCAGCCTGCACAGAAGCTTGGCCAGTCTCCACCAGAAGAAGACTCCCTGTTGCACTTACTGTCTCCATCGGACCACCCGAGGGGGGCCGGTATGTCCAGTCCACAGTCAGCCTGTCAGAGATGGGAGAGCTGGATTTGAAGGTGCATTTCAGTGCCACCTGCTCACCAACGACAGCCTGCACTTTGGGGCTGGCTCTGATTTCCAGGGCACAAGCATTGCAGACACCTGGTGGGACGAGCACAGAAGACAAGGGCTAGTTTCTTGTTGTCAGCAGGAGTGATGATGTCTCAAAGGTATCAGTGCAGTGGCAGGTCACCCACAGCCCAGCACAGAAACTGCCTCCCCCACAGTGACGTGCACAGAAATGCAAACAATCTCCCTCATCACTCCTCTCTGCAATCAGAACCGGCCCGAATCCTTCACCTGGAAAATACCACCGAGAGCCTGCAGGTCTGGAGACAAAGAGCCGAGGGGCTGAACCGGCTCTGAGGAGCTGCCAAGGGGCAGCTTCACACCCCCTCAAGGTAGTTCAGGTTCTCAATCTCGTCCCAAAGTGCCCCAGCCGGTGTCACCCGGCGGCAGCAGCAGCTCCCTC